AGTTGCTCATAATATGTTCTTATAATTGTGATCTCTCCTCTGTCATTCCTGATTTTATTTATTTGGGTCCTTTCTCGTTTCTTTTTGTTAAGTCTGGCCAGGGGTTTATCAATCTTACTAATTCTTTCAAAGAACCAACTCCTAGTTTCATTGATCTGTTCTACTGTTCTTTTGGTTTCTATTCCATTGATTTCTCCTCTAATCTTTATTAATGCTCTTTTCCTGCTGGGTTTTGGCTTTATTTGTTCTTTCTCCAGCTCCTTTAGGTGTAAGGTTAGATTGTGTATTTGAGACCTTTGTTTCTTGAGAAAGGCTTGTATTGCTATATACTACTTCCCTCTTAGGACTGACTTTGCTGCATCCCAAAGGTTTTGAACAGTTATGTTTTCATTTTCATTTGTTTCCATGAATTTTTTAAAATTCATCTTTAATTTCCTGGTTGACCCATTCATTTAGTAAGATGATCCTTAGCCTCCATATATTTGATTTTTTTCCAAATTTCCTCTTGTGAATGAGTTCAGTTTTCAAAGCATTGTGGTCTGAAAATATGCAGGGAATGATCCCAATCTTTTGGTACCAGTTGAGATCTGATTTATGACCCAGGATGTGATCTATTCTGGAGAATGTTCCATGTGCACTCGAGAATGTGTATTCTGTTGCTTTAGGTTGGAATGCTCTGAATATATTTTGAAGTCCATATTGTCCAGTGTGTCATTCTAAGCCCTTGTTTCCTTGTTGATCTTCTGTTTAGATGATTTGTCCATTGCAGTGAGTGGGGTGTTAAAGTCCCCTGTTATTTTTGTATTATTATCAATGTGTTTCTTTAATTTTGTTACTAATTGGTTTATATAATTGGCTGCTCCCATGTTAGGGGCATATTTACAATTGTTAGATCTTCTTGCTGGATAGACCCTTTAATTTTGATATACTGTCCTTTCTTATATTTTATTACAGTTTTTAAAATCTAATTTGTCTGATATAAGGATGGCTACCCCAGCTTTCTTTTGATGTCCATTAGCATGACAAATGGTTTTCCACCCCCTCACTTTAAATCTGGAGGTGTCTTTGGGTCTGAGTCTCTTGCAGACATCATATTGATGGGTCTTGCTTTTTTATCCAATCTGATACCCTGTGTCTTTTCATTAGGGGCATTTAGCCCATTTACATGCAGAGTAACTATTGAAAGATATGAATTAGTGCCATATTATTACCTGTAAAGTGACTATTTCTGTATACTGTCTCTGTTCCTTTCTGATCTGTTACTTTTGGGTTCTCTCTTCGCTTAAAGGATCCCTTTTAATATTTCTTACATGGCTGGTTTGGTGATCAAATTCTTTTAGTTTCTGTTTGTGCTGGAAGCTTTCTCTCTCCTTCTATTTTGAATGACATCCTAGTTGGATAAAGTATTCTTGGCTGCATATTTTTCTGATTTAGCACCCTGAATATATCATGCCAGTCCTTTCTGGCCTGCCAGGTTTCTGTGGATAAGTCTGCTGCCAGTCTAATGTTTTTATTCTTGTAGGTTACAGACTCCTTGTCCTGAGCTGCTTTCAGGATTTTCTGTCTCTGAGATTTCCAAGTTTCACTATTATATGTTGGGGTGTGATCTATTTTTATTGATTTTGAGAGGGATTCTCTGGACTTGGATGCCTGTTTCCTTCCCCAGATTAGGTTAATTCTCTGCTATAATTCACTCTGGTATATCTTCTGCCCACCCACCCTTTCCTCTTCTTCTGGGATCTCAATTATTCTAATACTGTTTCACTTTATGGATCACTTATCTCTCGAATTCTCCTCTGTGGTCCAGTTGTTATCTTTTTCTCAGCTTTATTCTCCATCATTTTGTCTTCTATATCACTAATTCTCTCTTCTGCCTCATTTATCCTAGCAGTTAGAGCCTCCATTTTTTATTGCATCTCATTAATAGCCTTTATTTCAGCTTGATTAGATTTTAGTTCATTTCTCCAGAAAGGGATTCTCGTGTCTTCTATGCTTTTTTCAAGCCCAGCTAGTATCTTTAAAATTGTTATTCTGAACTCTAGTTCTGACATCTTACTTATATCCATACTGATTAGGTCCCATACTGTCGTCTCTTGTTCTCTTTTTTGAGGTGAGGTTTTCCATCTTGTCATTCTGTCCAGAGAAGAATAGATGAACAAGAGAACAAAACAACAATGACCCCAGAGAAATATACACTAAACAAATCAGAAGGGACCTGAAACCGGGGGGGGGGGGAAGGAATATAATCAGACAGGTGAACAGAAGAGAGCAATAGACTGGATCCTGTGTGTATTTTGGTCTGTTAGAAAACTAGATCCCAAAATTCTAAAGAAAAACTTCTCCGTGGTCTCCATCCACAGTGTGCTCACCCAGCCTGTGTCCAAGAGTTTCTATCTCAGGCACGTGACCATGTTCCAAACCCTGTAGACTCCTTTGGTGTGCACCCACGCAGCTCCTCCCAGGGGAGGAAGAGCAATGGTTTCGCCACGGTTCTGCGGCTTGCTGGGCCCCTGCTTGGAGAGTGGTCACCCAACTGTGCCAAAGTTCCTGGTTTATGGCAACCCTGAGCTGAGAACCCACTCCTGGGATTGCTGGTTGCAGCCAGCTTCCCTGCTCCAATGCCTGGGAACTTTGCCACACGCAGGCAACCCCCCTCTTCCTGTGACCCCAAGGATCCTGAGACCACAATGTCCCACCTAGGATTCCGCCCCACCTGAGCACCTTTCAGGCAGGGACGTTCCTCTCCAGAGCAGACTTTTTATTTTATTTATTTGACAGAGAAAGAGAGAGAGAGCACGAGCTGGGGGTTGGGGGGCTGACACGACGGGCAGAGGGAGAAGCAGACTCTCAACTGAGCAGAGAGCCCAATGTGGGGCTTGATCCCAGGACCCTGGATCATGACCTGAGCCGAGGGCAGACACTTAACCAACTGTGCCACCCAGGTGCCCCTGGAGCAGACTTTTAAAAAGTTCTGATTTTGCACTCTGCTATATCACTTTCCGGGACTGCTGACAGAGGCTCCCTCCTCTCACAGTTTATCTTCCCATTTATTGCCTCAGATTCACTTCTCTGCACCTTCTACCTTGTAGAAAGTGGTCACTTTTCTATTTGTAGAGTTGCAGCTATTCCTTTAGATCTCTGGTTGTGTTCGCAGGTATTAAGAATGATTTGATAGCTATGTAGCTGAATTCCTGGGACCAGACGAAACTAAGGTCTCCTATTCCTCCGCCATTTTGGACTATCCCTCTGTGTCAAAACACCACTCAACTGTAATGAATTACCAAATCTTAGTAGAAGCTCTGGGATGTCAGTAAACTCAGTTATCTATTTTTATCTCTCAAGCTGTTTCTGTATTCTTTTACCTATCAATTTAAAGATTACCTCTGAAAAATGAAAACCTGTATTAATGCAAATGAAATAAAAGCAGTTTCAAATGTTAGGGTGCCTGGTTGGCTCAGTCAGGAGAGCGTGTGACTCTTGATCTCAGGGTTGTGATTTCAAGCCCCAAGCTGGGTGTAGAGATTACTTAAATTAATCAAACTTTTAAAGTGACTTTAAATGTAAACCTGATAAAAAAAAAAATTGTAACAGACTCTAAAACTATATATAAATTAGTTTTCATAGGTGAGTGTCTTGCATTATCATTACATCTTTTTTTCATCATATGAATAAACAATCAAAATAATCGAGACTCAACTATAGCAAAATAATCATAGTTCATGTTTCGAAAATATTTACTTCATCCTTAAATCACTAGATTATTTGAAATATCAAAATAAAATGTTTTACTATTTTCTATTTTTAAAGTATATTTACTTTAGAACTAAGCAGAAAAACTATTTCAAATACTACAAAAAATATAATCAATTTAGTACATTCAGATTTTTAAGGCTTTTCTTTAAAATTTGGACAATATAATAATTCTTTAGGATAAAAAAAAGCCATATTATATATTCAAAGGAAAAATTTCCCAAGCTTGTCTGATTAATTAATAAAGGACATGTTAACTTAGGAACTTATAACAAAGCGAACAATGATTAAATTTAAATGTTTTTATTCACATGTATGGTAAATACTGTCTCCTAATAAAAAAACCAATGACACTGTCTTTCAATCTGTCAAACTTACTAAAAAGTTCATGTGTTTCTTTTCTTTATCATGTGTTGACATGGTATAGGATGCAGGATGTAAAAATCAATTTAACAGACATTATTAAGTAACTTCACACATATGCAGAATCTTGGATAAATGGTTAAAATTATAGATGAAAATTAAATGTGGGCACATGGATATTTCATGTCCACCAATGGGTTTAACAGAAAATGTGTTTGCACTGATTTCTGGTAACAACTTGCTCTCTGTGAATCTTTAAATACCCAATTCCAAATCTTCCAGCTCCTGGAGAAGGGCTTTCTCTTTTTGAATTTTCTCCAACTAGAAGTAAGTTTAAAACAACAAAGTTATTAAATAGGAAATGAAATAAAATAATTATTGGATCTACAGCCAAAACAGCAAAGGATAAAAAATTTATAAAAAGAGTATTTACACTTTAACAGATCTACTGGAAAATACAGATTTAAAAATACAAAGAAACAAGCTCTAATTTGTTTCTTGGTATGAATCAAGGGGGCAAAGGACAGATGCTGTCTTATTGCAACACTGAGGGTCCAAGAAATTTCCCATTCTACAATTGGGCTTCCCTCAGAAGGAGAGAAAGGAGCAAACAGGGCAGTGCAACCTGAAATATAGGAAGGAAGAGAATCTTATGTTTATTTTAATAAGTTGCCTTTATTTTTAACAGCAATGGCTTCAGTATGCCTCTCGGAAATAGCGATTCTCTCATTCACCATGATCTACATCTTATCTTCCCCTATCCTTTCTGTTTAAGTGTAAAAACATTTTACCAAATATATGGCATGTTTTCAAAATAAGTTTTTAAATTTATACGCTCTCCCACTTGATTAAAAAATTGTTTATAATAAAAAGGGGGAAGAGTGGTAGTGACTACATGCACAAATGAAACATGTAAAAATGACCTGATTTTTTTCGAGCTGTTTTCCAGCTGCTGCTTGTTCTTTCAGTTGTTCGATTGCTTTCAGTTTCTGCGAACATCAAATATAATGAGTCAAGAGAAGGAAGAATAAGTAATTTCAGTATTTCAGAATGCAAATTTTCTTAGTAACAACTCAATCACATGAATGGGAAAAATGAATAAGGAGAATCAGTTATCTTACCTTTGGGTCAAGGCTAGTCTATTAAAATGCCAAGGTAAAATTTTTTGTTTTTTAACTTAGATGTAAAATTAAGTACATTAAGAAAATGGGATTTGGCAAAAAAATTTTCAAGCTTTCAAGTAATGGTATACATGTACATGTATAAGTATGTAAATATATCACCAACTTTACCACTTATTCCAGCACTTCATTGTATCCAGACAATGTCTTTGGCTTTAAGAGATACTTTGTCATGCAGCCTGGGAAGACTCTAGAAACCTGGTTTTACCCCAGGGCCATCATCACAAACTGGTTGCAATACGACAAATTAATAAATTTCTTTTTCTGTTTCTTCATCTTCAAAACTGGGGTAAATATCTGTTCCTACCTATCTCACAAATGTCTGATGAAATACTGAGTATAAAAGTGTTCAGCATATTTCTGTACAAAGGTACATTTCTTATTACTCCAAAAATCAATAATAAAGACTAATAACAGCCATTAGACATCTGGGAATAGAACTAAAATCAGTGCCATTCCCAAATTATAGTATTTCATAGTGAGAAAGCGATAATCAGAACTGACACAAACTTCTTAGATGCCATCTTTATACATTTCTCATGGATTTCTTTCAATAAGCACATCTGGCTTTTATTTAAGTGTCTCACCTTCTTTAGGTTCTTGATTTTTTTGTCTATTTCAGGGTCTCCAGAGGTTGACTGCGAGATAGTATTTCGTGGTGTGCTCTGTGGGGCAGGAGTAGGTGCCAAATCTGTACTCTTCTCATTTCTTGCTTCCTGCAGGAAATATTTTCAAAAATTCAATTTTCTAAAATGAAAACACTAAAGTATTTCAATCAACATAGCCCTGGTATATAAAATGCAGAAACCAAAATGCGATTTTATCTTTTATACTACATTTTATATAAATGATCTGAATTGAAGGTCTCATGAAGTAGCCACATTGTCCCATAACAGAAAGATACAACTTAAAAAAAAAAAGAAAATCAGAGTATAAGGAGACACCCAAAAGGTTTTTACTATGTCATCGTCATAGGGAACACTTTGCTAGATCTAAAATTTAGAGTTAAAGTAGAATAATAAAATAAAAAATAATACTATATTAGTAATAAAAGGACAAATGAAAAGAAATGAAATGACTTTAGCAGAAAAAACCAGGAGGTTTCGGTATCAGCCAACAAGCATTCCAAATTTTCAGATATTTTGGGATGTGCCACTATATGAATGGTTTATAAATGTGAGAGGGGGCTCTTCTAATTTAAGGTGTCTGAAGTTTCACTTTCACGATGTCCTCCAAAACTCTAATAAGTATGTATGATCAAGTACATGTAATGGATAATGTTACCGGATTAAGTCCTACAGAGATTTATTTATAATCAGATCAGTGCAGCTCTGCCAAGGAAAACTCAAAGGGAGGTTGCTCTCAGTGTGATCAGACCTCTGATTCTGAACCACTTCAATTTCCCCTTAGGTGCCATATACTTGTTTCCTGGCCTTTGTGTGTGCTAGAACAACTTCAGGTTACCTGGCTGACCCTATTTATCCTTTAGGCCTTTTGGAAAATTCTCTCCCAACCCAAAAGACTGGATTAGTTGCACAATACGTGGTATGTATTCCTACTGTAACAGTGTATTGTACTATCCCCCATTAGACTATACCAGAGGTTTCTTTGTTCATTGTTCTGTTTGTGCCCCCAGCATAAGACCTGCTTTACTGCACATGCTAAATAAATGAAGTAGTCAAAGAACTACTCTCCTTTTGTAATTATGACAAGACATACATTTTGACAAGAGGGGGGGAAAAAAGTTATATAAGGCTTTATTGGCCCTAAGATAGGACTTCTATTTCTTCCTTATAGAGTTCCCAGCGGAATACATAAAGCCCCAAGGCCAAAACTTACTCAGAGTTCTGGGTAAAATGCTCTGAATACCAAAGCATCCCAGGGGGACACGAAACACAGTATCACTTCTATATCTTCATATCTAGGAATGTCTGCCTGAGAGTTTTTGGAGAGTATAGAATTGGAGTCACTTTTTCTTTTTAAAGTCATGTTAGTTGTACTTTTTGTACATTCCAATTCAACAAATATTAATTTCTAACCTTCTATGTAAAAACGCATTACTGAGCAAAGCACTTAACAAAGTAGTCAGAAAGAAACTGTTTAGATTCTACTCTTAAGAAGCCTGGAAGTTGTGGCCCCGCCCCTGCCCCGCCCCTGCCGGCTGGGGTGCCCGAGCCGCTTGCACTGCGACCCCCACACCTCTGTGAACATGGTGCTGCGAGTGGTGCGGAGCATGCGGGCTGTGGCCTGCAGTCTGCGCGTTGCCTCCGCGCCCACCGCGCGCTGCCTGCCGCGGCTCTGGGGGCTGAGGGCGGGCGCCGTCCAGACACTGCGCACGGGCTCTGCTGTGCTCTCCGTGCGTAAATTCACAAACATGAATGAATAACAACAGAAAATGGTATTGGAACAGTGGGAATCAGTAATTTTGCACAGGAAGCTTTGGGAGATGTTGTTTACTGTAGTCCGTGTGAAGTTGGGACAAAACTGAACAAACAAGATGAGTTCGGGGCTTTGGAACGTGTGAAAGCTGCTAGTGAACTCTATTCTCCTCTATCAGGATTAGTAACTGAAATTAATGAAGCTCTTGCAGAAAATCCAGGACTTGTCAACAAATCTTGTTATGAAGATGGTTGGCTGATCAAGATAGCACTCAGTAATCCTTCAGAGCTGGATGAATTAATGAGTGAAGAAGCATATGAGAAATCTATTGAGGAGTGAAAATGGAACCCCTAAATAAACTAGTATGAAACAACTTAAAAAAAAAAAAAAAGAAGCCTACAAGTTCTAATATGTAGTTCGGTATTTTCATAATAGAAAACTAAAGGAGAAGAGTGGGTAAAAGGAGAAGAGAGATACTTTGCCTATCAAAATTCACTTTTGATATCAAGTAAGAATTTTAAAAATTTAGTTTGCAAACAGCTGAGAAAATTTTCTTCTAGGAAAGAAGGTTAATGTCACTACATTTGAAAATCTATTAAAGTTAAGTGAAATATGAAATTTAACTTTCTACCGTATTTTAAATAACCAAGAGTAAGTTAAAATGTCTTATTATACTTAAATTCTGGTCATTCTCTGAAAATGATGCATATATGGTAAGATTAAATTCTTAGTTTAAATTCCTTTTGGTAAAGTTCGTAAGCTTATAAAGTCATCACCATTTTATAAAAGTACTTGTTTAGATTATATACCTCTGACTCCTTCATCTTTGATTACTTAACTCAGAGGGCTGAGAAAGTGGATCTTGTCATGGACCATTTTCCTTTGTTCTATCACACGACCATAACTAACTCCAACCAGTCATCTCAATAGACATTTTTCCAAAAACACACAGATGGTCAACAGACATGTGAAAAGATGCTCAACATCACTCATCATCAGGGAAACAAATCAAAACCACAATGAGGTATCACCTCACACCTGTCAGAATGGCTAAAATCAACAACACAAGAAACAACAGGTGTTGGTGAGGATGTGGATAAAGGGGAACACTCTTGCATTATTGGTGGGAGTGTACACTAGTGTAGCCACTCTGGAAAACAGTATGGAGGTTCCTCAAAAAGTTAAAAATAGAACTTCCCTACGATCCAGCAATCACACTACTAGGTATTTACCCAAGAATACAAAAATACTAATACAAAGGGATACATACACCCCAATGCTTATAGCACCATTATCTACAAGAGCCAAATTATGGAAATAGATTGTGTCCATCGACTGATGAATGGATAAAGAAGATGTGGTATATACATACAATGGAATTATTAGCCATAAAAAAGAATGAATCTTGCCATTTGCAATGACATGGAAGGAGCCAGAGAGCATTATGCTAAGCAAGATAAGTCAGAGAGAGACAAATACCATATGATTTCACTCAGATGTGGAATTTAAGAAACAAAACAAACAAGCAAAGGGAAAAAGAGAGAGAGAGAGGCAAACCAAGAAACAGACTCTTAACTATAGAGAACAAACTGATGGTTACCAGAGGGGAGGTGGGGGGCGGGGGATGGGTTAAATAGGTGATGGGGGTTAAGGTGTGCACTTGCTGTGATGAGCACTGGGTGTTGTAAGGAAGTGTTGAATCACTGTACTGTACACCTGAAACTAATATTACACTGTATGTTAACTAACTGGAATTCAAATAAAAACTTTTAAAAAATCTTCTAAAATAAATAAATAATCTTCTAATAAAGAGGAAGAAACATCATTTATAAAAATAGGATTCTTAAGTTGATTAAGCGTCTACCTTTAGCTCAGGTCATGATCCTGGGTCCTGGGATCGAGCCCCACATTGGGCTCCTTGCTCAGTGGGGAGCCTGCTTCTCCCTCTCCCTCTGCTACTCCCCCTGCTCGTATTCTCTCGAGTGCACTCTCTCTCTCTCTCTCTCTCAAATAAATAATAAATATTTGAGGAAAAAAAAAAAGGGAAATCTTACCATTTGCAACAACATGAATGAACCTGGAGGGATTATGCTAAGTGAAATAAGCCAGACTGTGAAAGAAAACACTGGATGGTATCACTTATATGTGGAATCTATTCAAAATAAAGTCAAACTCTTAGAAACAAAGATTAGAATGGTGGTTGCCAGGGGCTATGGAGTGGGGGGAATGGGGACAGACTGGTAAAAGGGTACAAACTTCCAGTTATAAGATGAATAAAGTCTGAGGACCTAATATGTAACATGGTGACCACAGCTGATAATACTGTACTGTATAACTGAAGTTTGCTAAAGAGTAGAACTTCAGTGTCCTCACCTCTCAAAAAGTAAATGTGTAAAGTGATGGATGTGTTAATTAACTCAACTGTGGGCATCTTTTCATAATGTTTACCTATAACAACTTATCACGTTGTACACTTAACAATTTTTGTCAATTATGCCTGAAAATATTAGCTAGGAAAAAAAAAAGAAGAAATCTTATCTACCAGTACTTAAAAGGATACTACTAACTTGTAATATTCAGGGCCAGTAAGAGATCTCTACTCACATGATGAAAGGACAATTCCTGCTTTTATACAAGTCAAATACATGGAATAGATCATTTTTTTTTTTTT